GCCATCCCACCCCTGCCCGCTGCCCCTGCCCGCCCCAGCTCGGTACTTAAAAGCCCTGGTGCTCACCGGGTGCTGCCAGGTGAGGGGTGATCCCTGCTGCCCCACGCTGTATAGGGGGCTCTGCCATGGCCTGACCCCCCCCCCATGGGTACCCTGCCCATCGGGGCTCTGGCCCTTTAAGGAAAAACAAAACAAAACAAGAAAAGGCCCGGGACTCACCGCTCCTGCAGCAGCCTCGGGGCTTTGGGGGCTCATGCAGAGCACCCCACACGGAGTGGGGCAGTTGGGGGCAGCAGGGATTGCCACCCACCTGGCAGCACTCGCTGAGTCAGGGCATTTTTTAATCAAGTGCTGGGAGCTGGGGCGGGCAGGGCAGCCATTGCTGGGCTGGGAGAGCAGGCAGGGGATGGGCCTGGCATGGCTGATTTGAATCACCAAATTGAATTGGGACAGTGATTCGAATGGGCTGAATCTGAATCCAAGGCGACTTCTAGCTGCTTTGCACAGGCCTACTGCTTATGCCACAGGTTGCCCACACCCACTCCTCTACTTGGGTCAGGATTGTCCCGATCCATATCATCCCACCAAGTCCCCATCTAACCTATTTCTGTGACTGCACAATCAAACCTGCTGCTGCACAACTACTAGCACCAGAAGGACCCTAACCTGCCACAAGTAAAACAGCAGGATGAGTACTGTCAGTGTCCCACCCCTGCAAGAATTGTTCAAATGCATTCAAGACATTTGAGTAAAGTACGTAAGGTAGATATTAACATTTCAATTTTACATATGGAGAAAATTGAGACAATTTCTGTCCTAGTCACTCTTGTCTATTCCTTCTTTTTTAGTTCAGTTGGTGCTTTCCTAATAACTCCTCACCCCCACCCCCAAAAAACCCCCAACAACATAAATTAACATGATAGGAACAAGAGATATACCATTATTGATTAGTCAAGCCTAGGCCCAGTATCCTGGCTTGCATAGAGCAGATATTAAGGGAGAACATAGTGCCTGATCTATCGCATTGATTGCTCTACTTATGTTGTGGAGTAGAACCTGGGTGCTTCATAGGGTTTGATTCCTAACTCCAGGCAAATATAAAGAAGTTTGAATTATGCAGGGGGATTCAGAGCCACAGCAAACAGCTGTGTGGGACTGCTGATATGCTCCAGTTATTTGCTGTGGTTTTATATCAGAAAGTGCCAGTTGACTGAACAGGACCCAGCCTGTGTTCCAGCTGAGTGGAGAAAGGGTGTCTTTTTGAAATAAAAGCTTCACAAATAGTTTTAATTTGGCAACCTGCTCTGCATTAGATATGTTGTAAACTAGTTAGATCTGAAGGATCCAAAATCTGTTACATACTTATTTCTCCAACTTTTCTCATCTGTTAGCTTGGTAGTTATTTTGAGCAGGGACTGTCTTTCTTCTATAGTTATCTCTGATCTTGGTTGAGGCCTTAGCACCACCTGTAATAAATATGAGGTGGGAAGGATAGTCCACTGGCTACCATTACAAAGCCTGCACTGAACCTGCCATATATCTGCTCAGTCAGCTAGGCCATGCTCCAGATCAGGGTTTGGTGGGGAAGAGTGGAATCTGATGATGGGGGATGGTTATGATCCAATGTATTGTTCAATTGCTAAAGATGGTGTAGTAAGCTACAGACAATCATTAGATGGCTGGCACTAATTTTTCCTCATCCCCACCTTTCTCTCTTCATCAGAGAAAATGCCATCTGTACAGGATCTCTCTACTGAGATGACTGTGGCTGCAATATTTTGCTTATAAAGCACCTGCCAGAATGGTGTGCACATGTTAAGAGAATAATCATAACTTTGGGTTTTTATTTTTATTTTCCTAGAAATTTGACAGGCAGGTTCTCTAGCAGCTGCTGGAATTGCAGATTATGGAGCTCTCTGCGCTTGGAGTGGAAAGCAGCTCTTCTGTTCCTGGGCTTGACAGTACTTCAGAGGAAAAGGGATTCCCTAGCACTGCTCCGTATTTGGAGCAGAAACAAAACAGCCATGGAGAAGGAAATAAGCAGCTGCTGGAAAGGAGTACATCTGATTGTGCAAGTTTGGTGACCAATGGTTTCATGCCCACAGCAGTTGGCACAGAAAAGGAGGTGTGTTTGCAAGGGCAAAATGGTAAGACCTCTATAGCTTCTGTTTTTTTGCTTTGGCTACTTCATTTTGTTTGTTTCATTTTTTTGTGCTGCACAAAAAAGCTGTTGTATTTTTCAGTCATTTACACTTTTCCTACAATGTTTTTATAGTTGTTTAACTGAACAATACAGTTATATTTCCTTGAAGAGCTGTATGTACTCTTATAATAAAAAAACCCCCTAGACAAATAGCTCATTTTGGTTACATTTCTTTAAAAAAAAAAAAAAAAATGGATACCTTAACCCAAAGGTAAAGTAAGATTAGGATGACAATTTGATCAAGCCTGACCAGCCTGGGTAGTAAGATCTGAAGGCCCCAAGTATTTGTGGAATGTAAGTACTTTTTGCTGTGATCCATAAGACTTTAGGGCAGGGGTGGGCAAAACGCAGCCTGGGGGCTGGATGCGGCCCACCAGGCCATTCTATCTGGCCTGTGGGGCCCCTAAAAAATTTAGAAAATTAATATTCATCTGCCCTGGATTGCCTGTCATGTGGCTGTCGATGGCTTGCCAAAACTCAGGCCCTCTGCCCAAAATAATTGCCCGCCCCTGCTTCAGGGCTAGGGACAGGCATTTAAAAAGCCTAAGCCTGTATTAATTCAATCTTTGCAGGTTAGTTTAACCTGGCTAGGTTAAATCACTTTGTAACTGTACAGACATCTCAGACAGGCAGGCACATGCCTGCAGTGTCTCAGGCTAGAAGCTGGGGGTGCTAGAGCAGCCCTCCCTTCCCTTCCAC